GAATGTCTCCATGACAAATAGAGCTCATAGAATGATACAAAATATGTGAGTGAAATATATGTAGAAAGCTAACAATTCTACCCATTTAACCCCCTTGACATGAACCTGACTTGGAAAGTATCTGGAAATTTCAGGTGGTATAAAATGCCGTCCCTGGATTGCTAATTTTTGTAAGTATTGGAATGATACATTATTTTTTTCCAGTTGCCAAAATGTCACATTGGACATAAATGAAGTGTTGATTTACCTTTGAAAGTCCTAAATATCTTGGAACTTGGCTGTCCAAAGACTCCCTGTTCAGATACCAAAGTCAGCAAAAAACAGTGCTTCTGGAAGTGCCCTCATTTTTGTTAGCAAATCTAGAACGATCTCTCTTGTGTCACTTCCTGCTTATGGGATGCTCTTTATCTCTTTATCTCCTGTTCTTTTTGCTCTTAGGAAATGTATACAGATATATTTTGCGAAGACTTTCCATGGTTATGATTTTATTACTTACTATTAGTGTTTTAACTTTTTTTTAAAGTGTGTTTCTTTTGACTTATCAACAGCAAGCTGTACTGTGTCAGTTCTTCACCAACAGAAAAGCGGCCCGTGTATAAAATAATAAATAAATAAATATAGAAAGCATGTGAGAAAACATGCATTCTGGTCACACTTCTAGACATCCTGGTCTAGAAACTGAGCGTCAGAGGAAAAGTGCTAAGAAGTGATTGTAAGGAATGGGCAAAGAGCCCAACAAACTTTCTGCGTATCTGAAGTACAGACTTATTTCCATAGTCCAGAAGTCTGTTGGGGGAATAAGAGTGGAGGTAGTTAGAAGTTCAGCCAAAACATACTAGAGCAACCCTTAAAGATTAACTTGGCTAAAGTGAGCATACAGAAAGGCTTCTGACTTGGGGCCTGAGTTTTGGTCTAATTAGATTATGAACAAACTTTTCTGAAGACAAGGAGGAAGTTTTAAGAGTACTGTTAAGAAAAACAAGGTTGCTCTTTATTATTTCATTGTGATAGCTCCTTATTCTTCTCCCAAAGGTTAAGCTAAGCAATAGACTTAGACTAACTTTATTATCACTACTGTACTCTAATCGGCAAACATTAAAATGCAAAATTGTCACGATCATTTGCTTCACCAAATGGTAGCCTGGTTTTAAAAAAAGTATCATGTATACTACATTGTATAGCATGAATTGATGAGCTTTTTTTCTTGATTAAAAGGTATGCAACTTTGAGTAGAATAAAGGCATTGTTATCCAATTTTATGAGTCCCTTAAGTGCTGGGAATCCACTGTAACATTTCTCACCTTAATTGATTGCATAAAGTAGTTAAAATATCAACCAAAAAATGTACATCTCATGCATACTGATAATTCCATTTTAATGAATGGATGATAAAATTGTGTTAGGATCCAATCTGGGTCAGTCTCCAGGACCAGAGGTTTATCTTCTGAGTTTTTAGACTTGTGCTGGGGCTCATCTTCAAAGAACTTATCTCTAGTGCTAGAGAGAAGTTCCCTGAGGTTGGGCTTCAGCACAAGTCCAAAAGCTCATAAGACAAAACCTCTGGCCCCAGTGAGTGTCCCAGATTGGATCCTGCAGCATTACCCTGGGACACATACATTCGCCTTCATTCGTAAAATTGACTGCATATGTAATATTGGGAAGCCAACGTGAAACTGAACCTCAATCAAACAGAGGGAGAGAGGGTGTCTGTTAATCTCCATTTCTGTTATTGTCAGCTTCAGAGAATGTCAATTCAGCACTGTCATTACACCAATGAAGGAGATTGTGTCATTTGCACCATGTTTATGCCATTGGTTTAATGACACCATTATGAAAATGCTGTGGATAAAAGAACAATATCAGCCATTGCATCCAGAAGACAGTGAAGTTCCTGCTATCTAACGGATTTCAGTGGCTTGGAAACCATGGTTATTTAAGTCGGTTGGTGCAGAAATTTCCTTTATTACAGATGGTTTGGGGGTCTTTCTAAAAGACTAGTTTGGAGGTGGCTTGGTCTGTCCGCATGTAAATGGATTTCTTCCAGTCTTTGTGGATAAAGGAGAGCTGTTTGTCAGAAGACATTGCCTTATAACAGAGTGGAATAATTTTTTGCCTAGGTAACTCTGCAGCATGATTACCTATGCAAGCAATATTGTACTGACAACTAGTGGCAAATTATAGACATTAACAAGTATCAAAGGCAGGAAGGGGAACTAAGCATAAATGTAAATAGAAGAAGCTGTTACCCTAAATTAGCTAAGCCATGGCAAGGCAAGCATATATATATTTATTATGTATGAGATTCGCAAGTCTGCTTTAAAGACATGCAATAGTTAATTTGTTCACTCCATTAGTAGAGCAAATGATTTTAAATATAAAATGAATTAGGATATTTATTTACTGATATTATTTGTATATTAAGTACTCTTCTTCGTGAGTACTGAGCTTAAAATACTAACATAAATTGAAGTTAACCAAATGATTGCATTAATGAGTTTTCATTCTGTTTTTCTATTTACAGCTTCAATTTTGTGTATGTTTCTTCCAGATTAACTATCATTTAACTCATTATAGTGATCCAGGAAATGATGCATGGGAGTGGTCTGTGAGATAAAGACAATAAAGACAGAACTAAACTAATAATTAGTTTTAAAAAACTGTTCTACTTCACAGGACAAACAGTGTGCTTCTCATGCTCATATCCTTATTTATTTTTAGATTCTTGAATATCAGATGAGTAATCATGTTTTTCCCTCTTAGATTCAGAAAATGATAAATTTCAATCCATTCCAAAATTAAGCTCTTTGTCATTCCCTCACTGTGTGGAGACATTTATTTCATTTATTTATTATTTATTTGTCAAAAGCTTACAATATAACAGAAACAAGAATAAACGTAAGTTTAAATACAATAAATAGGAACTAATAATTGGGGACAATAGGACAGAGACGGTAGACATGATTGTGCACTTTTGCACGCCCCTTACAGACCTTTTAGAAATGGGGTGAAGTCAATAGAGGTTAGTTTGAGGGTAAAGGAGTGGGGGTTCAAGCAGGTGACAACAGAATCAGGTAGTGAGTTCTTGACATTGACCACTCTGTTGCTAAAATCGTACTTCCTGCAATCGAGTTTGGAGTGGTTTACATTTAGTTTATATCTGTTGTGCGCTCTAGTGTTGTTGTTAAAGCTGAAATATTCATTAACTGTAGACATGTAGGACTGAATTTTCACTAGGGTAATTTTTGGGTTTGTGCCTGAATTGATGGGATAGATAGGAGTCTGTGTGTATATATATATGTGCTGGAAACTGATCAAGGAGAGATTCAACCTAGAAATAAGAAGAAATTTTCTGACAGTGAGAACAATCAACCAATGGAAGCATTTTGCTTTGGAAGTTGTGGGAGCTTCATCACTGGAAGCTTTCAAGAAGAGACTGGAGTGCCATCTGTCAGAAATGGTGTAGGGTCTCCTGCTTGGGCAGGGGAGGTTGGACTAGATGATCTAGGTTCAAGGTCCCTTCTAACTCTATTATTCTATTAATCTCTTTGTGTGTGAGAGAGTATTTATTTATTTGGGAGGGGGATTATTTTGTTTTTCTCACAGTGATTCAAAGGAGCTTGACATGATCATAGAATTGTCAACAATGCAAGCAGTGCTATAGATTTTGCCCTTTTTTTTTTTGCTTTAAATTAAAATGTTCACCGTTAATGATGATGATAATCGTAATCATTATATTTATATTGCATCTTTATTTTGCACAACTCGGCACAATTGCCGAAAGACTTATGTGTACACAACTCATGACTCAGATTATGATAAGGGTAATTTGCAGTATCACGGCTGTGCAGGGCTTCACAAAAGTACTTTGCAATGAAAAGGAGCTCAGATATAGCATTTATGGGCAACTTATTAAATTAACCACATTTTTCCCCCCAGGATCGCAGCACAATCGCAGCACAAATATATAGAGACCCCTCACATCCTGGACTTAAACTGCTTCAACGTCTCCCTTCAGAACACTGCTATAGGGCATTGTATGCCAAAACAACCAGACACAAAGACAGTTTTTCACCCTCCATGCCATCACTCTGCTAAACACCTAATTGCCACAGCCGTGTCTTATGCCTAAGGATATCTAACCATATGGTAGAGCTGTATTACTATTATCCTTCTCATCTTTCATATTACCTACTCCTATTGGTACCTTTTGACTATCACTTTGTTGGTTTTATCTTACGATTTATGATTGCATCTTATGATTTATCACTTTCTTGCTTGTATGGACACTGATAGCTGATCCACCAGAGACAAATTGCTGATGTGTCCAATTACACTTGGCCAATAAAGAATTTTCTACTTTGTATTATTTTCAATTTTGTTCTGTTCTGTTTGTTCTGGTTTGTTCTACTGTACCCTACTCTACTCTATTCTATTCTACTCTAGTCTACTCTACTCTACTGTTCAGACTATTCTATTCTATTCTATTCTATTCTATTCTATTCTATTCTATTCTATTCTATTCTATTCT